TTTCACGGGTAACACTAATATAACAAAATTTCCTTCTTTGTTTTCCCTCTTTTGTTTTCCTCTTCTCCATGCTACTGTCATACATTACAACTTTACATAAGAAATAAGCATATTATCATTACAATTCTTTTAAAATTATTTGATTATTATTTATAGCAACAATAAGAATTAGAGACAGAGAAAGAGATCTTTCTTCTAGTTGGCTGCAAATGGCTGAAATACAAAATTGCTTTCATTTTACTCCAATGGCTTTGTGATCTATCCATCTTATGTATCAACTAACACTTTTATCACTCAGGATTGCTGAATAACTACAAGTTCTGTTTGGATGACTTCCATACTTTTTTCCACAAGGAAAAAGCTCTGTGACTATTCTATTTACAATTTATTTTATTTTATCAATATAATGAGAATACATTTAATCTATTTCATACATGCAATTCTAAGGAGAAAATTATAATTCCCTCTCCTTCCTTTCTTTTATTTTTCCTTAATTATTTAAATAATATGCCTTTCATTTAGTTGAAAATCACAGGCTTAATATACCAATAAAATATAACTTTCATTCTTGTACTTTTTTTGTATTGTATGTTAACTACCACAAATCAAGAAAACAAGATATTTGTGTTTGGGAGATTTATTTCACTAAACATAGTGATATCCAGTTGTGTCCATTTTGTTGCAAAATACAGTATTTCATTCCTTTTATAGCTCAGTAGTATTCCATTGTGTATGCATAGTAACTTTATTTTTCTGGTTATCAGTTGAAGCACATCTTTGTTTTGGGAATTTGTCTGCTATAAACATAGAAGTACAAAAATCTCTTCTACTGATTTCATTTACTCTGGGTAGATATCCAGGAGTGGAACTGCTGATTCATATGGTACACATATTTTCAGATTTCTGAAAATTGAATTGAGGATAACCAGTGTAAGAGGTTAGTGCCACAGGTTTCTTTTTAATAACCAAAGTTTCTAAGTCTTCTTTAGCTTTTGAGATGGCATGGAAGTCAGTGAGCTTTGAAATGACATTTGTTGAGTTTACTCTTTTTAACCAGAGCTATTTTGGTCTTTCACATTATCTCCATATGTAACACCAAGGTTTTATCATTGCTGATACTATGTAGAGTTGTGCTTTCATATGGTTTAGGAAAGAGTTGTAGGAAAGTGTTTACTACACTGTCTCCAACATCTATAGCTTCTGAGAAATCCTATTGGTGTTTGTGAAGCTGACAATATTTATTGATGCTTTTGATTCATCACAGATGATTAAAAATTCCCAGAATTAAAGTGTGCATCCTTCTAGAAGTACAATGACTGTGATACTAGTTGCTGTGCATACCTGCTTCTGACATGTTGTGAAGAGTGCTGGTATTTTATATTCATGTTATGATTAACTCATCAAAACCATCTTGTAAAGAAAATTTTACAGTTTTTTATCCTAATGGTACATAAAGTAAAGCTCGGGGACACTGCAGAATTACACTAGCTTGTAGAGCTTGCAAAAAACAGAATAGTTTAAAGTGCCCCACCTCCACTTTAGTAGCTCTGCCACTTAAACTGAGTCTATCTAACTTCACTTCCCAGTAGTTAGTAGGTAGAGTCAGTCTGTGGATGAAGACTTGGGAGGAAATTTATATGAAAGCTTATGTTGCACCAAAATTCATGACATCCTGGCAGTGCCTTCTCCTGAAAGAGAGTAACCCTGATAAAGCTGACCTTATATATTGCTTTTCAAGAGTTGGTCAAAAGAGAAGAACTATGACATGCAATTGCTATGACATGCAATTGCTAAAATCTTGCACTCAGTATTGAGACCCAGAAGAAAAGGCAGTTTATGAGCCAGATGGGCTGGCCTGCCCCAGGGTTGGATCCCAGGCAGTGTAGCTTGAATCTAGTGCCTTGGACCATTAGGTGGCCATATGCTCTGAGCCAGGTGGGTCACTACATCCAGGGGTGGGACTCGGGTCTGAGGGTTTGGGCCCATCAGCCTTCCAAGTGCTTGGAGCCAGAAGGGTCAGCTACCCCTGGGGCTGGGGTCCTGGGCAGCAAAGCTTGTGTCCCTAGAACCAGCAGTGCCCAGGAGAAGCCCTTGGGCCACCCAGCAGTGTAATTTTGAGGAGTAGGGGTAGATGTGAGGAACTTTACAGTTAAGACCAAAGCACCAGCCCTTGTGGGAAATCAGAGCTGGGGTAGTTGGATAGATTAATGCTGAATACCACTCACTGGTGCTCGCTAAAACTTGGACTGGAGGCCTACCTGGCAGGGCTAGATCACAGCACCCACCAGTGAGTGTCAGAATAGGGATGGGAAATGTTACACTGCAATGTGGCACTAACCAGCATGCAAGAGAACTGGATTTGGGGCAGATTTTGTTGGGAATGTGTGGTCTCATCCCTGTGATCTGCAATTTCAGCTGGTTTACTTGGGAGCTGGGGGTGGTAACAAGCTGAGCTAGGCATGGCCTTGGAAACCTCCAACATTAATGGGTACTGGGTACTGGGTACAGGCTGGATTGGACCAGGCTACAGCACCCACAAGCACAATCAAGACTTTGGCGTGGGATGGACTGGGTCAAAACATCCACTGTTCATGTGCAGACCAGAATGAAGGAGATAGCCTGTGATTGGTAAAACTAACCCACTGACATATGTGATGTATGGAGCTGGAGGTGGGTCTGGTGGAGGAACTCGGGAAAATTCCCTGGTGGGTCATAGCTCCCACTGATGAGCACATGATTCAGACCTGGGTTTTGGTCAGACAAGGTAGGGTAACTCCATCCATTGGCAAGTTTATGGATTGGTTTTGGAAGGGGCTGGACAGGGCAGGGCCAGGCCAACTTTAGCTCATTGGCAAGTTCAGGAGTCAGGCTTGAATGGGAATATCACACATACTGGTTAGTATGAGTTAAGGATGGAGCTAGCAGTCTAGGGAGGGCCATGCAGTAGCGATAGCCAGCAAGAGTTTTTATTGAGGGTGGACCAGGTCAGGCCAAGATGCAGCATCCAATGGCAAAGATCAAGTAAGAAAATGGGTTCTGCCAAGCTGGGTTAGACCAACCACTGTCATGCACAAAATCTGTGACTGGAAGCAGACCTGTTTGGGGAGCTAAGGAGATGACCCAACTACGTTGTATTTTCTTACTGGTGAGTGCTAGAGCTGGAATGGAGGTGGACATGGCTTTAATGTCCCTCAGAATGGGTGTGTCAAACTGGACTGGACTCCAGCACCCATTGGTGCTCATGAGAGCCAGAGTGGGTGTAGGGTGGGCTGTGCTAGGTTTCAGCTCCCACTGGGCCATGTGAGAGTGACATCAGGGCATGGCCTAAATGTGGCAAGGCTGTAACACCCCACAATAAGAACCAGATTGGGAGTGGGCTAGTTGTGCAAGGCTATTGTTCTTGCCAGGACAGAAGGTGGACTAAGTCATTTCTGGTCAAGGACCCACTGATATGGGTGAGATATGCCACTGGGAAAACCAATAAGCATCTTGGGAACTCCTTTGTCAGGGTGCAGTCTCTGCAGGTGAGCACAAGAACCAAGGCAAGGAGCAGCCCAGACCAGACCAGGTTACAGTTCCTACTGGCATATGTGTGGCTCACACTGGGCCAGTTCATAACACCCACTGGCAGATCTGAGAACCAGGATAGGGTACAGAGCAAGTTAGGTCTAGCCATAGCACCTGCCAGTAGATATTAGGGTTGGGACTGGGGCTGACTATGTCAGGTTGGGCAGTAGAATCTGCCAGCATAAGCTTAAATAGGGGCAGACTGAGCCAAGCCAGGCTACAGCACCCACCAGCAAATGCCAAGGTGAGACAGGATATGCCAGACTGGGCCACAGTACCCACAAGCACACAGTAGGGAAGTAGTGGGGACTCTTCTGCTAGGTCACTGCTCCTGCTGGTGAGAGTGAAAGCTAGGACTGGAGGTAGACCAGACTGAGTAGAGCTGCAACTTGTTAGCCTACTTGTAAACTTGGTCAGGGAAAGTGCCAGGCTGGACTAATTGTATCCACTGGTACAAGTATGAGCCAGGGTAAGGGCAGGCAGGTTGGGTTTTGCTAGCAATTGATGAAACTGTGGGCAAGTCCTGTCAAGCTAGATTACAGAACCACCTGGACAGCACAAGATCCATGGCAGGGACTTGGTCCAGTGGAGAGGATGTGGACACCTCTCTGATAGACTACAACGTCCACTGATGAGCATGTGAACCAGAACTTGGGTGGGAGGTGATCTGACTGGACAGGCGATGGCACACACTGGCACAAGTGTGGGCTGGAGAGTAAAGTGAATGCGTTGAGTTAGACTTCGATGTCCAAGATGTGTAAGAGAGCTGAATGGGATGTAGGATAGATCAGACCAGCCAACTGCACCTGCAAGCAGGCACGGGAAGGCCTGTCCAGTGGGGATTTTAGGCGGCTGATATGACTGGGCTTCAGCTGCCCTGATGCATGTGAAAGCTGGGCACGTGGTGGTCAAAGATTTGGCTGGGCCACAGCACCCATTGGCTTGCAAAGGAAGGCCGACAGAACAAATCAATCAACTACCCCAGTGATTCTTGACAGCAAATTACTGGGCAAATGGAGACAAAGGTGGAACATGTCAGCCAATTGACATTAGAAAGATTTTCTCATCCTTGGAGTGGAGATAGCAACAGCATTTCAGAACTACTAAAACCACTTGAGCAGAACCCTCAGAACATGCTCCACAACACAGACCTTGGGATGACATCGGGAACTGGGGAGACTGGGAGTAGTCTCTCCATTGTATCCTCTCCTCCCACAGATACAGGAAGAAAAAAATGAAAATGTGGGAACAATGGTTTTGCCCACTTACCCCTGATCCTCGATACTTCCCACACTGATCAATTATGCAAACATCATCAAAAATAAAACTTTTAAATTTAAAGCAATATAAATAAAAAATGGCAATTTAGTCAGAGGGTCCTATTTATCAGTTCAATTGTATGAGTTTTAAACATATAAATAACTCAGAAGGTGTTTTTTTTTCAACATGCTCTGGTTTTTAATTATAAATCAATAAGTTATAGTGCTCTAAATTTTATGACATTAGATTTCATAGGATAACAACTTCAGAGACATATATGTAGAATTCTGATACTAAACTTCTCAGTTATCTTTTTTGGGGGGGAGAAAAATACAATTTATTTTGATCTTAAATATCTTCAGAATAGATTATTTCAAAAATTATAACTATGTAATTGGAAAAATGATCATTGTACTGATTTTAATTTTAACCTGAATTTTTGACATTATTAGTTCTGAAAAATTTAGATACATTCATTTTTAATCTGTTGATGATCTTCAGAACTTTTAATTTACAATGAAAAGAAATCTATCAACTATCTCTACAATGACTCTCCTTGCAAGTTGCGTATTCATTAACAATTTCCATAGAGTCAAAGATGATGAACCTAGAAGAAAAAGAAAATGAGCACTCAATATTCTTGCAAACATTTTAAAAGGCTATTGGGTAATATGTAATGCAGCAATTTTATTTAATTTCTTTTCCAATAATTCTGTGGTAAAATAAACTATCTCATCGTTGTATTATTTTCAGTACTGTTGGACAATATCTGACTTGCAAACTCATAAATAATAATGTAGAAAAGTACACATTGAGTGTCACTGTTGTATTAACTTGCAACAATAAATAATGTCCATAATTATGATGATTCATTAAAAGAGACACTATTTTCTTTCAAGCAAGTGAAATGGACAAAGCCAATTTGTGAAAAATTCTCCAAGAAAAATTTCCAGTGCTGAAATGAGATGGTGTGTCCCTCATGCATATGCAAGAAAGGTGATGCCAAGCTGAAATGTGGCATCACTGCCATTACTTGAATAAGGAGAAACATTAGTTGCATAGGATTTATCATATTTGGAATTTTTGTTAGTATAACAAATGCAAAGTTCAAGAACATATATTTCAATGCATGAAAAGAGAAATATCAACCCGCTTGAGATGTAGCAAAATAGCACTGAAAGGGTTAATGATCTTACATTCTGCATGAAGGTTGCCCTATATCAGAGAGGACATATGACATTTGTCCTGCAGGGATTGACAGCTAGGGAGATTGAGCATGTTTTCACATGTATATTAGCCACTTTGATTTGTTTTTTGAAAAATATCTGTTCATTTCCTTCACCTATTTCTTTACAAAGTTGTTTCTCATTATTTTCCTCACTGTCTCATAGGTCACACAATAGCATCATTTGCTTCAAAAAGGTCTTCAATTAGATGTCAGGTAAATACCAATAAATTTGTGGCTCTGCCTAACTCCAGTGATTTTGGCCTATATTCAGAACCCTACTAACACCTGCTGGCATGGATGTGGGAAGAAAGTTACCCTCCTTCACTGCTGTTGGGAGTGTAAGCAAGTATAACCTCTACGGAAGTCAGTATGGAGACTGCTATGGCAATTGAAAATTGATCTGCTGTATGACCCAGCCGTTCCACTTCTGGAAATATATACAAAGGAAATGAAATCTGCATACAAGAAAGGGATCTATAATCATATTTATAGCAGCACAATCTACAACAGCAAAGATATGGAAACAATCCAGATGCCTGACCAAAGACGAGTAGATAAAGTGACTGTGGTACATCAGCTTAGTGGAATACTATTCATCCACTAAAAAGAATGAAATTCTACCACTTGCAACCAAATAGTCCCAATTAGGCACCATTATGCTTGGTGAAGCAAGTCAATCCCCAAAGGACAAAAATCATATGTTTTCTGATATAAGGCAAACTTTATGCAAAATATGAAATCAATAGCCCTTTCAATACTGTTTTTGCTACATCTCAGGAGACTTGGTATTTTTTAATACATTAAAAAAAAAACCTTTTTCTTTTCCTTATTAATTTCCTCACTGACTCATAGATCATACAACAACATGGTTTACCTCAGGAAGGCCTGATTTTTTTCATTTCTTCAGCGACATATTGGTCACTCAGTAGCATGGTATTTAACTTCATGCTGCAGTAAATTTTATATTTTTATCTCTGTTGTTGATTTTGTTTTATGGCTTTTCATTGAAGGGGATGTATAATAACTGTGTAGTAGAGACTATCTCATGTAAATGTGAGGATGCAATGCAGTATGCATCTCTATTTCCAAATCAAAGACGAAATCCCAATGAACCCATTAAATGTATCCTGATAATAGGATGGCGCTCTCTCTGCTACTGACCATGCCTACACTGTCAAGATAGGTTAAAACAGCAGAATGATGGACTTATGACTGATTGTAAAGGACTACAGTATTGTAACAACAGGTATAAACTGGTCGGGGTGTGGGCATGGATATGAGGACGATGGAAGGGAAACTCTGGAGCCTATGGAACTGTATCATGGAATATTAAGATAAGCATGATTTTTAAATATATATATATAATTAATTCATGTTTAATTTTATTCATTATATCTCTACAATTAATTTTTTTGAGAAACATATTAATGCTTTTCATTATATTGCGAGGTTTTGATTTGATTCAGAAATTGGTGCATTTTAAAAATTAGAAATGCCATTGCTTCTCAGCCTTTTGGCTAAGATCAAGCACAAAAATGCAAATGATATGCTAATTTACCAAACGATAATCATAGATTACTCTTTGGTTGTTTGAAATTTATATTTTTTTTATTTGAAATCAGAGTTAGAGAGAGAGAGAGAGGAAAAAACAGAGAAAGAGATCTTGGATTCACTGGTTCACTCTCCAGATGGCCACAGTGGCCAGAAGTGAGCAGATTTGAAGCCGCGAGCTAGAAGCTGCTTCCAGATCACCCACATGGGTAAAGGAGCCTGACACCTTGGGCCATCCTTGTTCTTTCCCAGACATTATCAGGAACCTGAATCTGAAGTGGAGTGGTAGAGACAGGAATTGGGGCCTATATAGGATGCTGGTACAAAAGCAGAGGATTAACACGATATACCACTAAGCTTGTTCCAGAATCCTTTTGCTTTTACCTTGTTAAGAATCCATCATGTGAAGGATTAAAGAAAATCATTTCTTACATGATAACAGTGTTGGATTGAAGGAATTAAGACAAGTCAAATTGAGAGTAATTTGTTGATCATGGCAGGATTTTTCTTTTGAAACTTTTCTGCTTTAAGTTGAAGAACAAAGTAGAAACAAATATACTTTATATGATTCTTACCTGTCAGTTTATGTGTACTGGAAACAATATTTACACCTGACAGCAATGTGTTCTGAAGAGACGTAAAGTCACTGATGAATGGGGCTACATCAGTATCAAGAAGGATTCGTGGTGGCAGGCCTTTCTGGGCTTCATGCACTCTAATCATGGTTGTAGGAAACCGAGATGCAGCTAAATATTCCACAATCAATGTCCAGTTTTTACCAAACTCTTCTTCTGGTTTAGAATAATAGGCATATCTAAAAGACATGATAAAATGTACATAATTGCACTTAGTTGTCAAAATTTTAATCTAGCTTCATTCTCTAAAAATTATCTTTTATGAGTAAACTAAATAAATCATTAGTTAAATGACAGATTTACAAAGCAATGTCATCCATTCCTCATAAGATGAAGTTCTAAATAACATAAACTTTTTGAGCAAGTAAGGTTTATCTCAACAATTCAATATACCATATTTCGCATTTTGTGTCATTGGTATAGACTCATTATACTATGTAATAACCAGATTTAAGACCAGGACCCAGTAATACTCTATGGAGACATAGAAATGAATGCCACTCTTCAATACTTCAAACAACTTTTGAACTGAATTTAAAGGACACTCAAAAAAAGCATTTGGAAGTAATAGATGTCTGATTCTTTCATCTAATTTTCTAATCATTGGTCCTTGTTTCTACTGGAGAACAACTTAGAAACTCTTTCACATAGTTAGGAAACACATTATCATAAGGAAAAGTTAAGCATATGGAAAATAATGATGTAACCATACAATTGGTATCACTGGTCCCTATTCACTATCTAAGCATGTTGAGCAACTTGCTGTTTGCAAGCACACTTCTCTCTGAGTCATTATGTACTCCATACTTGGCTCATCAAATATGTTCTCTTTTATGTGCCATCATTGATGATACTACCTATTTCATAAAGTTTCTAACCTATCTATATTGAAATCAACAACTTCTTCCACTTCTATAATTCTACAATAAGTGTATCATACACATATCTAAAGTTTGTCTTCTCATTGTATTTAATTTGACATAGGTAAGTTATATTACCTATTATTTGGACAGCTCATAGATAAGATCCTTGTTACAAAAGTGCATTGCATTACACTTCTCAGTGAACTCTGAACACATTCACTGTCCCTTCAAATCCCATCCTTCCGGGAGCCTACCTGCCCCCATTCCTGGAAGCTCTCGTGTTTACAGAGTTGGATTGCTAACAGAATTGGTTTAGATTGATTGCACCTTAATACATCACAGTTGTCCGTCAAGTAACAATGAAACAAAAGATGAATTCCACAAGGATTTAGAGCCAGAGCCATTGTGCCCAAGTAAAAGTAAATTAAATTAAAAGAGATTCAAAAGTAGTAGCAAAGGGGAAAAGAGACAAAGATATGAGATTAATCAATAGACAAAAGAGCAGAAGTGAAATTCAACAGAAAATTTTTAATATCTTCTGCTGTATAATTTATTTTTTAAAACCCTGATAATAAGCTTTGCCAATACTAGATTCAAGGCTTTTTATCACTGACATTCCTTGTCATTTGTCATAGTAATAATACTTTATATTGTACACTTTTATATACAAGCAGTATATTAAGCCCAGTGCAGGAATTTCTTAACCCATTCTCAAAATCATCCTACATAGCATGCGCTATTATTGCTGCTCTTCAAAAATAAGTAATAGTGTTGAATTTCCCATTCAGAGAACTTGGCAAACCAGAGCCTCATCAATAGGTACATTAACAAAAAGAAAAGTGCATGAATTGGCAATTGAAATAATTTGTAATAATCATTAAAACACCTCCTTTACACTAGTGAAATTTAAGAAAGGCTCAAATTTCCTGAAGATGCATTATCAAACTTTCCATAGACGTGGATGGAAGAAACATATTTGAACCTCCATTTATACTGAATCTAAGTATATATTTACTCCACATACCAAAAAAGCGTAGTGTTCTTAAAAGATCCCAACTAAACAAATTACAAAAGTTATCCTTATAAAAGGCTGATATTAAAAATTCTTTCACCTTTTTTAACTTATCAAAGCCCTATTAAGACATCAATAAGTAGGAAAAAATTCCAAAGCCAGGATAGAAGGAAGTTGAATATGAAATAGAAGTACTTGAAAAGATTTAATAGAAACAAAATTAAATCCTAAACAACAAAAGGACACTGAGAAACAATTTTGACATAATTTGGAAAACCACCCACAATTTAAGAATGAGGAATATTTTGTCATTAAAGAGAGATTGCCAAAATCACAGTGATTGAAAATTTGTTAAGGGACACTCATGCATAATATTCCCTCTCAGACTTCAACTATTGGGTACCTGCTGCCCGTGACACCAAAAATGGTAATGTATGGAGTCACCTACCAGAGACAAGTAGTCACACTTACAGGCAGAAACAGCTTAAAAACAAGGGATTTCAATGAACACTGTAAACCTGCTACTGAAACTCTCTTCCCTTGCTCTTTCCTTCTCCAATCCGACTTCAAGAACATCAACACCCAGTTCTTCATGATGCAAGCAGTGATTAAATTTACAAATGTATCTCTTCTGAAAACCAAGGGAGCTCAAAAAACTCAATTATTGACACCATGGGTCAGTGATTAAAGTGTTATCTAAACAATGCAGCAAGATTATCTTAGAGACTGCTCAACCACTCACACTAAAACACTCAGAGTTTGGGTGTCCATGTTTAAATATGAGTATCCTCCCAGGCATTGGGAAACTCAGTCATTAAAAAAAAAAAAAAAAGAAGAAGAAGAAGAATGTGAAATGGAGAGAGAAGGAAACCTTGGTTCCCACTTGAGGTAAAGAAGAAATTAATTCCAGATCATATACTTCAAATCTGATACCAATGCTTCTTATACAGGAAATCCCAGAGTCAGACAGAAACTTGCAGCAGGAATTCTAAAATAACCTTGGTTCTAATTCTATTTATCCAAAAACTTTTTGATGTACCTTTGTGAAGAGTTAGAAGAACTAATAGGTATTTAGGAACAGCCTCTGTGGGATAAGTGTTTGCAACAACCTGTCATCTGCTTATCAGACACAAAACATTGTCCCATGAAAATGAAAAGATTAACACATAACAAAACGGAACTACTATCCATAAGTAACTGTAAGACACGAATCTGGCACCAGAACAGAACACATGTTCTCCATCACATTTGTCAAGATTTTGGTAAGGTGACATTGATTAACTTAGCAGTAACATTGACTTCCTCCTAAGAAACACAGAAACGAAATACAAAGCAAATCCCATTCCATATCAAGACTACGTAGAGCTGTTCATTTGATATTCACTCTGTGTAAGCTCCCAAAACCCAGACCTTAGTGGACCCTTCCCTTATGTAATCCTTCAAGGTAGAAGTGGCATTGCTCCTGACTTTGTAAAAAAAGAAAAAAAGAGAAAAAGAAAGAAAGAAAAGAAAGAGAGAGAGAAAGAAAAAGAAAGATAAAAGAAAAAAACAATCTCTAAAGAAATTCTACTAGAACATTCACTTTCTGGCCTTTTTTCATTATCTGTATAATCACACTTTGTCAACCATTACACAAAAACCAACTCAAAATAACTTGTAACACTTTCCCACATGATTTACCCTGGTTTGAATACTGCATAAGGCATAGATCTATTGAAACGTAACTGTACATATCTATCATTGCTGGATATCAGTTAAAACTTTTAAATAAAATATCTCATGGAGGCTTTATCTGCCAAAACAAACTACCATGAAACATAAAGATGTGGAATTTGAAAAGCGGTGATATAGTGAATCCAAACCAGAGGCACAGAATCCCAATTGCAAGAGTGAACAGAGATCATGGCACCCTACTAAGACAGGTGAGCACAAATAAATGATCCTTACAGAGACCTCCCCAAGAAAGAAACGTGGAAAGAATTCTTTTTTTTTTTATTGTTGCTTACATTATATTATGTAGTACAGTTTTATAGGCGCTGGGGATCCCCCCCACCCCTCCCATACCCCTCCCCCCATGGTGGATTCCTCCACCTTGTTGCATAACCATAGTTCAAGTTCAGTTGAGATTCATTGCTTGCAAACACATGCCTAGCATAAAGTTCAGCGTCTTATTGTCCAGATAAGTTCATTGGCCTCTTGGGGAGACCTTCTCTGGTCTGAAGATAGGTCTAACAGAGTAAAGATCCAGTCAGTTAAAAGCCCCAACAAGGCCTCAGTATCATTATACAACATTATGGAATTAATTGACATAGTATTGAGTAAACAATATGTTAAAAATAATGCAAGTTCCATTCTTCGAAACATCTGGGTTGAGACAGTATCAATGACAGGTTCAAAAAATAACAAACAACCAAACAAAAAATTACAGGTTAAATCAAGGCAAACATGTGGTATCTAATCTTTTGGGATTCACTCATTTCCCTTAGCATTATAGTTTCCAGTTGGGCCCATTTAGCCACAAAGAACTGCATTTTGTTTTTTTTTAATAGCTGAGTAGTATTCCATGGAGTAGATGAACCAAAGCTTTCTTATCCAATCTTCTGCTGATGGGCATTTCAGTTGCTTCCATGTTTTCGCAATTACTGATTGTGCTGCAATGAACATAGGGATGCATGTTGGTTTGTCGTAAAACAGGTGTTTTGGATATATTCCTAGGAGTGCTATTGCTGGGTCATATGGTATGCAGATTTTGAGTTGTTTGAGTGTTCTCCAGACTGATTTCCATAAAGGCTGTACCAATTTGCAGCTCCACCAGCAGTGGAGTAGTGTTCCCTTTTCCCCGCATCCTCGCCAGCAAGCGTCGTTGGTGTTCTTGTTTATGTGGGCCAATCTTACTGGTGTTAGGTGGTACCTCATCGATGTTTTAATTTGGATTTCCCTTATTGCTAGGGAGCTGGAACATTTTTTCATATGTTTGTTTGCCATTTGGACTTGTTCCTTTGTGAAATGTTTGCCCATTTCCCGTGCCCATTTCTTGAGTGGCTTGTTTGTTTTGGTTGTTTGGGTGTTTTGAAGTTCTTTGTATATCCTGGAAATTAGCCCCCTATCGCCTATATCGTGTGCAAAGATCTTCTCCCACTCTGTGGGTTGCTTTTTTACTTTGTTGATTGTTTCCCTTGCTGTACAGAAGCTTCTTAGTTTGATGAGGTCCCATTTGTTTATTCTGTTCTCAACTGCTATTGCTTTTGGTGTCCTTCTTAGAAAGTCAGGACCTACTCCTAGGTCTTGCAGGGTATTTCCTACA